CCCCCAATGGGTAACCGTTCTGGGAAGCGAAGACGCCCCCTCCTGGTACTCGTTGTTGCCGGGTCGTTGGGTAATTAGGTTAAGTACAGCGATGACGCCAGCTGGAGCTTTTTAGGCGGGTTTAGTGCCCAGGGTTTCCGAGCACGGTGAGGGGATGATTATGGGGAGTTGTTTGCCCCTACCTCTCGTGTTTCGTCATTGCGTGCTTTATTAGCAGTTGCCGCAGCCCGAAACATGACGGTACATCAGCTCGATGTGTTTACTGCGTTTCTGAATGGTGAACTGAAGGAGGAGTTGTGGATGGAGCAACCGCCTGGGTATGCATCCAGTGACCGGTCGCTTGCGTGCAAGCTGCAGAAGTCTATGTACGGATTGAAGCAGGCACCCCGTTGCTGGTATGAAAAACTATCAGCAGAGTTCGCCAAACTAGGTCTTTATCCTTCGAAGTCTGATCCGGCGATGTTTGTTAAGACGGACGAGCGTGGGGTTGTTATTGCTTTGGTGCACGTAGATGATACAATTGTTGCGTCGGAAGACCCGGAAATGGTCCGGGCAATTAAAGCCGCAATTGCGAAGGTCTTCAAGGTGCGCGACCTTGGAGAAGCGAAGGTGTTTTTGGGCATGGAAATTAGGAGGGAGAAGTCGGGTGAAATAGTGTTGTCGCAACATAGGTATATTTCGCAGCTATTGGAGCGTCATAAGTTGGTTGACGCCAAGCCGAGGTCTACTCCTTTGCCTCCGGGTTTTAGGTATACTCCTACGGGGGACGGAGAGGAGCTGCTGGGCAATCCCACGGAGTATAGGGCTTTGGTGGGAGGATTGAACTATCTTGCGACGAACACGCGGCCTGACATTTCTTATGCATTGAGTGTTTTGTCCCGGCATATGGCCACACCTACGAAGACTGCCATGAACTTGGCCACTGGCGTTCTGCGTTACCTGGCGGGTACTCGCGAACTAGGATTGCGTTTTGGGGGTGTTGGCGACGTTGCTATGTCCGGGTATAGCGATTCTGACTGGGCAGGAGACCCAGTTACGCGGCGTTCTACGTCCGGTTACGTATTCATTCTTAATGGGGCTGCGATTAGCTGGAGCAGCCAACTTCAACGTACTGTGGCGGCTTCGTCGGTGGAGGCTGAGTACCAAGCTACAGCGGCGGCTGTTCGTGAGGCTTTGTGGCTTCGCAAGCTGATGGTTGATTTGAGCTTGCCTGAGAGCGCGGTGAAAATCCAGATAGACTCCCAGGGGGCGCTTAGCTTGGGAAACAACCCGATTACGTCTGCTCGGTCGAAGCACATCGACGTGCAGCATCACATAGTGCGTGAGAGGGTGAATAGCGGTGAGGTGCAGTTGGAATACTGCCCTACGGAGTGGATGGTTGCGGATGTACTAACGAAAGCTCTGGGCGAGGTGAAGTTCAAACGTTGCCGAGATGCTATGGGCCTTGTGTGAGATGTGCAGATGAACTTGGTACTCGTTGGGATACGGCCCGAGGGGGCGTGTTGAGGAAACGGTCCTCTCCCAACTCGTGTGGTTGTCGACCAGGGGATTTGACCCCGGGTCTGCGCCTGACTAATGGGGAAGACTTACCCCAGAACCTTATGGGGCTACCGATGCATATCCGGTAGCTAAGTGATAGACATTAGGGCACCGTCTGGACGGCGCAGTGAGATCGCGGAATGTACGTGCAGTTAGATCGCGGAATGTACGAGTTTTCCGCTAGCGCCGGTATTTAGGGCGGTGACTGCGCCTATTAGTTTATCTCACTACGATCGGTATTCCTCATAGGAATCTCCTCAAGTCCTGCCGAACGCTAACAATACTCTTTACATTACTTGTAACAGTCTATCGTGCTAAATATCTTCGCCACCGGCAATCCTTCCGGAATAACAATTAGCGTTAGCTGTCACCGTCGCCAATTCTTCAATAGTGTTAGCATCCTGATTTGTAACTGTCTGCTAGTCCGACAAATTATTTTCTAGAGTGTCCGAAGACTGTCGGCCTTCGGCTGACATAGCAATTCGCACCAATGTGAGAGCCTACCTGGTTACTTAGACGGATTTAGCGACTAGACCACTTATGAAGGTGTTGATAAACACCGGGGGTTTCCCTTGGGGTTTTATAGTCGCTTGCAGTCCGTCGGAGGCGCTCGGGATAAGATGCCGTACAATAGTAGATATTCCTGCGGAAGAGAGTCGCACCTTCCAGAGAAGAGTTACGACACCGGTCTGGCCGTGAACGGGCAGATGGTGTACGGAATCAAGTATGTGTACGGATCTATATAGCCGTAGCCGTAATCATGTACTGCTAAGTACGGTTATAACCGAAAAGATGACTTGAATAGTTGTATGTATTGTGTGTACGATATTCGCCTCGACGATGGAATGATAAGAGGAAATGGAGTCCCTACTCGGAAATATCCTGAGCCAGGCTCTTACACCCAGCATATTCCGCAGGCTTCAAGACACCTGGGGCCCCTTCGACATCGATCTATTTGCGTCCCACGCGACTTTCCAGCTCCCCGTGTACTATTCCCGCTATTTCACCCCTACGACGTCCGGAGTCGATGCATTCAGGTTCTTATGGGGGCGCAGGTGCTGGGCGAACCCACCCTTTCACCTCCTCCTCAGGGTACTGCAGCACGCCGAGGCCTGCCAGTCCCGGCTTTGCCTTGTCGCACCTTTCTGGCCTACTCGTGACTGGTGGCCTTTCATCACAGACGACGGGGTTTGGTTCAAACCTTTCATGTGTGGAGTTCGCTTGCTCGGCCGGGCCGCGGATGTCTTCCTGGCCCGCACTTCGGGGGCCCCCCTGCCCAAAGGCGCTTCCCGCTGGTCCACCTTGGCCCTTCTGGTCGACTTCTCGGCCTCTAACATCAACCGTATCCGTGTCCCCGCTGATCCGATCGCGCCCCTCGCACAGACTTAGATGCCCGGGCTGAGGCTCTTTTGGTCGCTCTTGGCGCGGAGGCGGACACAGAGCTCTCCACCTTGGCGACTCAGTTTGCCCAAGTGGCCGGTCAGACACTCGCCCCGCGGACGTCCAATGATTACGCGCGGTCTTGGGAGCCTTTCCGCGAGTGGTGGGCGGCCAGGCGACTGCCCAGAAGCATCTATGACACCCCGGGTGAGGTGGTGGCGCTCTATCTGCTCTCCCTGCTGAACTCGTCCAAGGAAGATAAGGTGGGGCCTGGACGGGTTCGTACAGCGAGTGCAGCAATCAGCTCCTATTTCCGCCTAGCCGGCAGAGTGCCCCCTACAGAGCACCCTGCCTGCAGCATCGTCCACGACCTCGCCGAAAAGCAACTCCAAGGCCGTAAGCTAGAACGCGACGCCCTGGAGCCGGCGGACATCACGGCGCTGGCCCGGCTGGTCGGTGGGCCGGAGCCGCCCCTTGACCAGCTGATGACCGTTACAGCCATCGTGGTCATGTTCGCGGGGTTCTTTCGGTTCGACGATGCTGCGGAGATCAGCGTTCACGAGGACCTTCTGGTTATCACGGCAACTGGCATGGATGTTTTCATCCCTCGTTCCAAGACCGATCAGCAGAGACGGGGTCACTGGGTCCCCATCGCCCGCGTCGGCGGTGCCGTGTGCCCCGTGGGCCTGACGGAGCGCCTTCTCACCCTGGGAGGGTACAAACGCCGCCCAGACACGCCGGACGAGGACGTCGGGCCCCTTTTGCGACCAGTCCAGTGGAACAGGGCCGGGGGGTACTTGTCAGGTCCTCTGACAGGCACGGTGGCCCAGCCAATCCACTCCCTATCGTACCCGGCCTTCTGCCATCGGCTCAACAAGACTCTGCAGGCAGCGGGGATCACCCGCCGCATCACTGCGCATTCCATGCACATAGGAGGAAACAGCACTGCCGCCGACCGCGGTGTGCCTGCGGACCTGCGCAAAGCGCATGGCCGGTGGCGCAGCGACGCCATGGTACAGCACTACACGCGGCGCGACGGGGAGGCGAAACTCTCCGTCTCCCGCAGCCTGGGCCTCGCCAGTGAGCAAATGTCTCTTCGGTCTGCTGTGTAAGGCCCTTGGCAGCGGTGCAATTCTCGCCAACAAATCGTCCTAATCGCACCGTTCAGCACCATCGGGTCAGCCAATCCTCCGCCACCAGAACCAGTTAAGGGAGACAGTAACACAGAATTGTTGGCTTAGAAGCGACGGAGCGAAGCGACCGGAGCTTCTAAGGCTGGTTCTGTGGTACTGTCGTACAACTGGTTCGCAGTGGCGACTTAATTCTCGCTGCTCTCCTGGTGAAGTCATTCTGCCTTCACGCAGAAGAGCATACAGCCTTGTCCAATTGTCAGTGCGACAGGCTGTACTTGCCCCCCGCCCGCCCTGTCCCTGTCAGCCCCTTGCTTCCTCTTTCCGCTATCCCAGTCTTGCCCCAGATGCAGCACTGTTTGGCTCGGCCTGGCGTCGGCGGACTCCTGAGAGGCGCCCTCCCCCCCTCAGCATGGTGGCAGACTGAGGCAGCACGCGCGCGGGAGGGGGGTGGTTCAGGGGGCGGGCTGAGGCGCCCGCATCCGGAATGAGGGGGAACACCCCTAGGGGTTGGTGCCTGGTCGTTTCTGGTCGGTCGGGCTTTGTCTGGTGCGAAGGTCTTTGGGGCGCGCGGGTGCTGCAGTGCTTCCGTTTCTTAGGTTAGCTTTGTTTTGGTTTTTGGCGTTTGGGCGCTGGCGCCCCTTCGCGGTGTGTTCCGGACCGTTTGCTGTCTGGTGTGTCGCGCCGCGGTAGGCCGCGCGGCCCCCCTGGCTACGGGCGGCCTGCTGGCTGGTTGGGCCGCGCGGCCACTGTTAGGCTTGGCTGTCTGCTCTTCCTGCTGTGTAAGGCCCTTGGCAGCGGTGCAATTCTCGCCAACAAATCGTCCTAATCGCACCGTTCAGCACCATCGGGTCAGCCAATCCTCCGCAACCAGAACCAGTTAAGGGAGACAGTATACATAACAGAAGGTCTGGTCTGGTCTGGGTTGACACTACTGCAATTAGCGGTTTAAGGTCCTGGGTTCGATTCCTGGGGAGACCCCCGAATTAGTCGGGAGCGCGAGATTATGGCTTGCTGCTGAGATGTGGAGTTGAGGTCACAGTTGATGGACCAGATTCGCACGCTGGATTGGTGGCGATTGCCGAACCCTCCGTCTCTTCGGGTGTTCGGGTGAATGGATGAGGAGGGGTCCCCGAAGGCTGGATCCGCCGCCTTGGACTTACAGTTCGTATGGCGAAGTACAGTGTGGTAGTGGTGGATGGTGCTATAAGGTGATAAATGATCTAGAACTGACAATGTGATAAAGCGGCCCAGAAGCTTCCCACTCTGTAACATTACATACATTACAGAAGATGGTGGTAATGATAGTGGAACTGGAGCGCGCTTCTGGCAGGCAGCTTAAGGAGGTGCGTACGGATTGTGGCGGGGAGTTCATTAAATACTCGCACGAAGGGATATTTCGTGTCCAGGGGTATTGTACAGTGTACAATGTACACGGAACTATGGTAGGCTACACCCCTGACCAGAACAGAGCAGCCGAACGCTTGAATCGCACTCTCTTAGACAAAACCAGGGCTATGCTTGTCGAGTCCGGTCTACCTAAGTCATTATGGGCGGAAGTGTTGGCGACAGCAAATTACCTCAGGAATGTGTCGCCAACTGCTGGGTCAACCGTCATGCCGTATGAAGCTTTCTTCAACGTCCGTCCTAACGTAAGTCATCTTCGAGTTTTTGGGTGTGTCGCCTATGTCCATGTACCTGATGTCAAACACGACAAGTTCGATCCAGTGAGCAGGCGTGGAATACTTGTCGGATACGGGAACGGAGGACAGTATCGTGTGCTGTACAAGGACGGCATTATTGCCGTAGTTTCTAACGTTCGCTTTGATGAGTCTAATGTCGGCCGGTGGTGTAATGCCGGAGACTCCGATTATGAGTCCGATGCCGACGAGGAGGAGGAGTTTCACACTAGTTTGCCTGGTGAGGGATCGCTGCCTAGGGCTGGTGAAGGGATACCAGGCAGCACCGTCGGTGAGGGATCTCTGCACTTGGGTGGTGAGGGGGCGCCGGCTGGGGCTGGACCTTCCAGCAGTGCCAACGGGCAAGGAATCAATCAGCCTGATGTGGAAATGGTGGGAACTAGGTACCCAGTTAGAGAACGTAAACGCCCAGGCAAATGGTGGTGAAACGAACCTGGTCGCACTGTCACTGGTCGCGTTAACGCTGCTTTCTCTGCTGGTATTCCTGAGCCTAATTCGTTTGCGGAAGCCATTGCAAGTCCACATGCAGACGACTGGCGGCGTGCAATGGACGAGGAGATCGCCGCCCAGATGGCTAATAGTACTTGGGAGCTGAAGAAGCCACCTCCTGGTACTCGTTTGTTGCCGTGTCGTTGGGTATATAAGGTTAAGTACAGCGATGACGGCAGCGTGGAGCGTTTTAAGGCGCGTTTAGTTGCCAAGGGTTTCGAGCAACACGAGGGGATTGATTATGGGGAGTTGTTTGCCCCCACCTCTCGTGTTAAGACCAGCAAAGCGCCGTTCTGCTCAGGGGTGTAGCCTACCGTAGTTCCGTGTACAATACCCCTGGAAGCGAAATAGGCCTTCGTGCGAGTATTAACAAACTCCCCGCCACGATCCGTACGCACCTCCTTAACCTGCCTGCCAGAAGCGCGCTCCAGTTCCGCTATCATAACCACCATCTTCTGGTAGACCTCCTCCTTGGTCGCTGTAAACGCAACAGCTGAAAGACCAGTATGGTCGTCAAGCAGAGTTGTCACATAACGCGAACCACTAGGTGAAGGTTCAGGCATAGGTCCACACACATCCATGTGAATGAGCGCGAGAGGCTGCGCTGCCTTATGCCCAGATAACGGAAAAGGACCACGTGTATGCTTTGCAAAGACGCAAGTCTCACACACACACGCGCTGGCTGATTGTATGCTGTGTCGGTCAACATCGAATCCAGTTACCATATCATGACGCAGCAGCGCCTCAAGGTTGCTGTATCCTAAGTGGCCATACCTTCGGTGCCAAGTGCTGCACGTTCAGCTCCGATATCCACGGCAGCACACACTGCATCACCACCAGAAGGTATCCTGTTGTCTTCACACTTCAGAGCTCCCTTACCTCCACTGCTGTAGCAGACGGGATACATGTCCCCATCCCGCTTTCCAGTCAGCACCAAGTGGTTCTGTATGTATACTTTCACCTGTCCGCCGCCGAAGACCACACTACCTCCACGATCATCAATGATGCGGACCGATAGGATTTTGGTGGTGGCCTCCTCCTCGACGTAGACCTTCTTGAAAGTGATGGCCTGTTTATCGTTGACGTTAGACCGAATCGTAAGCGTGCCAACTTCAGTCGGCCGAAGAGACTGTCCCTTGATGCCCATGATGTTGAAGCGCTCCCATGGCTCCAACAACCGCACGTTGAAAAGTTCTGAGCGGTCATACGTTATGTGGTGAGTGGCGGCTGAGTCCAGAAACCATTCCGTCGGACGCTCGCTGTTGTATGCTACGAACGCTACCTGCCGCGGAACTCCTGGCCCCCTAGCTGATCCACCGGATCCTGGCTTGCTGCCGCTAGCTCCGCTGCCACTAGCTCCGTTGCCACTGTTGTTGATGTTGTTACAGGGTGGTTAAGCTTCACCAGTGGCCTCCTTCCCGAGGCAGTTCCCTGCTCTCCCCTGCTAGAGGGGCACCCTAAGCCATTCACCCCATCCGACTTCAGAGTGTACTCTTTGAGTTTGGCAACTCACCACCAGCATCCAACCAAATCTAGCGGATCAACGGCGCGTCAACTTAGTTCCTGGTCAGCTCGCGAGTTGATTTTATCACGTCCTACACCGTCCACAAGATGGGGGGCCACCTCCCATTTCATCACCTCTCAAACACGCCGAGAGGTCGGCAGGCGGATTTGAACCCAGACGCGCCGGAACGCGTCGGGAGCAGAAGCCAGGCCTTAACCTCTGCCAGCCGCCTACCTGTTGTTGTACCCTCCCTTATAACCAGAATTTGACGACTGCTTCAGCGCTTTAAGCTGCCTGCAGTCCTTTACCACGTGCCCAGGTTTATTACAGTTGTAGCAGATGAGATGTTTCCGACTGTGTCCCGAGCTGTTGTTAGCCGGCCCCCGGCTACCATAACCAGAAGTAGAAGCGCCAAACGTCGAACCGCCGACAGACGCGAAGGCTGCCGACTCGGTAGGCTTGCCCGACCCACCGTTAGCCGTCTCAATAGAGAGAAGCTTTGCTGTGACGCTCGCCATGTCCAAATCGCCGTCGCGCATTAGTAATGTAGTCGTCACCACGCTGTACCGACTGGGTAGACCAATTAGGACGGTGTACGCCAGCTCGGAGTCGTTAACTATGTGGCCGACTCCCAATAAATCTGTTTGCAGCTGCCTTGCACGCGCAAAGTACATCGGAAGAGGTTCGCCGTCGACCATCTTAAAACGGCTGAATTCTTGACGTAGAGACACCTTGCGGGCGTTGTTGTTGGCGGCAAACATAGATCCCAAGGCGTCCCAGGCCTTCTTCGCGTTGGCAGCACCGGTAACCATCGGCAAATGATGATCCTTGACGTTCTTGATGAGCAGATTGATGACCTTCCGTGATTGTCGAATCTGCTCCTCGTTGCACGGCTCGGCGAGCAGGGATTGCTCAAGCCCAAGCTCCATGCACATCGCGCTAAAC